CTCAGGGCAGGGCTTGGTCACTGTGAATGCCTGACCCTGTGAATGCCTGCCTGTGCTCTGCTTCCTTCCAGCTGCTGGAGGTTTTAGCTCCCCCTGTGAAAGAGTTTGCAGTCAGTGGGAGTCACAGCTCTTCTGTGCTATCTGGTTTTCATGAGCCTTGTTTTGGCTGAGCTGGAAAGAAGGGCACAGGAGCAATGCTGGACTGTTTAGTCAGTTCACATTGCTGCTGCAATAGATTCAGTCTCTCCCTTGCTGGGTTTGAAATAAATTCCATAGTGAGCATGACATGGAGGCTCTGCCTCATCCCAGTGTCTAGGGCAGTATAGAAACACCATTTACTGACTCATTTTATGTAGCATGCACCCCACTTTTACCCTCAGCCCCTGCTTACCCCCTTTTCCTCTGACAGCCCCACTGACCACACTGAGATCAATGCGGGAGTTTTCCTGCCTGGTAGTTCCAGCTGTCTCATTCACGTGTCTGCAGCCTGGTTGTGCTGTGGCTGTGGCTCTCCTTGGTTTCAGTGTGGATTCTGCACCTTGGAGATTCATTTTATTCAGAGTCATTTACTGGGCTGTTCACCTCCTGAAGAGAAAGCATCAAATGTGACAGGAAGCCAAGGGCCATAAATCTGTAAGCCAGATTTCTGTGAAATATGTAATTGTAATTTACAGTCCCCTCCAAACAGTTTTATATTTTTTTTCTCTGACTAAAAGGAAGCCTGGAGTTCCCACAACACACAATTATTTGCATGCAGCGAACTCTGATGGAGGTTGGATCTGTCAGTCACTATTAAATATGATGTCTGGGTGCAGCTGCTGGCTCTGAGGCACTTTAAACCTTGGGGCCAGACACTGGAAGGCTCTAGCAGCAAAATGGTCACTCTGTGCTTTGCTACACCTCCCTGAGACAGCTGAATGCTGCTAAATACAGCCTGTTGTGGTGGTGAACGTCCTTACACACACAGCCAAAGGCATCCCCTGGGGATAATCCAGTGTCCCATGGGTGTCTCCCGGCCATGATCCAGCTCGTGGCATGTTGTCCTGCCCCTCTTTACTGTTTTGCTCTCCCACAGGGTGTCCCAGAGAGCGAGAGGAGGAGCACGAAGGCTGAAAGCGCTTGGCTTTTCCGCATGTGGTACAACTTCGACCACAAGTATCCTTGGGCAGCAGTGGGTGTGTGCTAGGTCAGACCCCACTGCCAGACAGCTCTGCTGGGACCACGAGTTCCTCCCTGCTTAGCAGAGGAGCCAGTGTTTGCTTTCCCGTGACATTGCTGTGTTTCGGTTTGCACCTCCTCATGTCTGTGGCTGCAAGAAATGACAATTTCCACCCTCTGTCAGTGAGAATGCAGCAGCAATTCTGGTAAAAGCTGGGCTCTCCAAGATTGGCATCCTGGGGGTCCTTAACCCCAGGGGCAGGTGGGCAGGAAGGGATGGGGGTTTTCTTACTTGCAGTCCCTCTTGGTAGATCTGTGCCTCTCCTCCCTTCCAGTTGCTGTGCTCTGAATCAGTGGAGGAGTGATGTGAGGCTGAGGGGCACAGGGTGGTGGGACAAGCAGTGCTGCTGAGCATCTTACCAGGACTGTGCCCTGATGTGTTTGGTTGCATTCTTGTTGTACACCATTACAACTTGTGTGCTGCCACACATTTGTGTTCATTTTCTTTCTGTGATTTCTGACAATGCCGAGTCCTTCAGTGCTGCCCTCCCAGCCCTTGGCTCACTGACATGGCCCCGTTCCTCTTTTATCCTTAACCCTCTCCGCAGCTATCTAAAGCCTCTCCTGACACACAGTGGTCCCCCTCTGACCACCACACTCCCAGGGTGCTGTGGGCCTGTTGCCCGGTGCCTGACGAGCCCTCAGGCATACGAGGTGAGTCCTTTGGTGTCCTTTCTGTCACGGTGTTGTGGGTTTGATGTGTTTATGTTTCTCTTTTGGATGCTGCTCTGCAGTGTCAAGGTGGGAGCATAAGGGAAATCAGGTACTGGGGCTGATGGATGAGTTAATTCCCATGAGCATTTTACTTTTCCAGCCTGCTGTTAGGTCATGAAAGGGTTTGTGGTGTGTTCGTGGTGGTTCCTCAGTGACTGGCTCAATGAAGTTGTCACAGCTGTCCTTCCCCAGGCTCAGCTGGGAGGACACACTGTTCCCTATCCCTTGCTTGCTTCCAGCCTTAAAGCTGAGCCATTCCTGCAGCCCTTTCAGCTGCATCAGTCACAACCAGAAAGGTAGCCAGTATTGCTGTGCCCAGCGGCCCCTTGCAGTGGCAGCTGTCCATGCCAGGAGTCTTCTTGTCCTGTCTGCACAGTATCAGCATCCTGACAAACCAGAAATGGCTGTGATGGATCAGCAGTGCAATTCCTGTGCTCACAAGTATGGCTAAAGCCACTCAATGCTGCATTCCCTGTGTACCTGGCTATGGCACCAGGAAGAAAAGAGCTGAGAGAACCTTTTGGGCAGTCTGCAGAGAAATTCTGCGTGCTGTGAGTCACGTGGGCTCTGAGATGTGTGTGTGCCACGTCGATTCTGTTCACGGTGCAGGAGAGCCCGTGACTCGGTGCCTGTGTCTCTGCTCAGTCACCATCACCATGCGATAAAAAAACCAGCATTTCCTTCCTGGTTGTTCCCCAGAATCAAGAGCAGCTGAAGGACGATGACTCCGACCTCATTCTCAACGACGGGGACATCAGCCTGACGTACGGGGACTCCACGGTGAACACCGACTCGGTGGCGTCCAGCGGCGCGTCCCGGCGCTTCGTGGGGAACAGCGCGGAGGACGCCCTGGACCGGGAGCTGGCTTTTGGGGACCATGAACTCGTGATCCGGGGAACGCGCCTGGTCCTGCCCATGGACGATTCCGAGCCCCCGTCAAACGTCCTGGATAACGCCAGACACGGTCCAGCATAAGGTTGCTCGGTTTAATTGACAGTGATATTTGCATATATGATCAAGAAGTATGTACTACCTAAAGTCTAATGCATGTCTCAAAATGTCTAAGCTGTATAAATATTATTTATATGGTGTCAAAAGAATATAAATATTCTCTGCCAAGCACTTGTAAAGAACAAGCTGCAAATTTAAGTTAAAAACTGTGTTGACTGCACTATGTAGGGTGGAACTGTTTTAGCGTCAGAGTCATTTGCACACAGTGAGCTTCGTTAATGTGTGATTTGATGAAGGGTTTAGTTCCCAGCGGGTGAGTAAAGGAGCTGTGACTCCCTGTTCATCCTTTGAACCTGGGAGAGGAGGGTAGGGAGTTGCTGGTGAGCAGTGGAAATTGCTTTCTAGTCTGATGAGGATTGTGGAGTTTTTTTTGGTCTCTGATCTTTGGATAGTCACGTTTTAAATATCAGCAAAAAATCTGCTCACAGACCCTCTCACCAGGCAGTGGATGGTGATAAACTTGTTTCACTGTAGGAAGCTGGAGACTTTGTGCTTCTTAGTGACCCTCTGCCCGAGCCCTGCTTTAGTGGGCTCATGGCAGACCCCGGCCAAAGCTGACAGCAAGGGCTGCGGGTGTCCAGCTGCTCGGATGGGAGCAGGAGAGAGTGATGGTTGGTGTCTGTAGTTGTGTTCAGGAGAAGGAGGCAATCCCACAGAAACTACACCAGGCGTGCACAGATTTTAGGTCTGAGTCCATCTTTCAGCTGTGGCTCAAGCAGCTTTCTAGAACCAGCCATCAAATCCTCTTTTGACAACTAAATTTCACGTTCGGGAAGCGGCCGTGTCTTTGCGCGGGCGAATCCCCGTCCTGCGGTCACAGCTGTAGCCAAGGTGTGCAGAGCTGCTGCAGCTGCACGTGGGGCTGTGGAGCCCAGCCAACCTCAAACCCGAGCTTTAAGGCTGCAGATCCACACGGTACCTCCGGAGCTCTCCAGAGGCATCCAGCTGGTCCTGAAGGGGAGCTGTCCGTCCGTCCGTCCGTCCTCCCGCAGAGTCAGAAACCATTGCACTTTGTTTGGTAACTCCTTAGCATGCTGTGTGTTTGCAGTCCCCACCCCACCTTTCTTGTGTCTCTTATCATTTATTGAGAAATATTTGTGAGTTGATTTTTTGGTTTTAATTTACGTTTTTATTTTTCAAGGAAGAGCACAGAACAATTTGCGATTTCACTCTAGTGTTAAAGGATTTATTCTGTAGTTATGGGAATGGCTAAAGGTGCAGTGAAACTGCTAACCCTGACATCTTTTTTATCCTGGAAAGGGGGAATCATGGAAATTTACTGTATGTAATTTTATTGTCTATTTTATCTACAGTTTTTCTATACAAACCTTTCAGGGTTACTGGTGCACTACAGGCCTATTCTGGAGTTAACCCTCTCCAGAGGGCTTAAACAGAGGTATTGAAAATGAAAAGACATGAAAGAGAGCCAGGTGAGTCTGAGCACTCACAGCTCCCTTAATTGTCTTTGGAACAAACTCTGCATCTCTCAGGATCTGACCCTGAGACCTCAGAGCAGCGTCCCCACAGCTGTTTTCTCCAGCACCACCTGAGAGCTGGAGGAGACAGAAAATCCTGAAGTTTCAATTGTATATGTATAGTTGAGAAAATAAATCTGCACGGTCTGTTTGGTTTGTTTTTTTTTTTCATTTTCTCAGGTCTAAGTAACATTGCCTTAAATTTATGGATGTGAAACGATAATTATTTTGGCAGTTTATCCCCAAGAAAATGCTTTCTTTTTTCTTCTGAACAAAATGTGTAAGTGTTGCCATAGGACTTCCCTAGAAGGGAGGTAATGCTCTGTTTATATTTGGATATATTTGGGGCATCTTCCTTGCACCTGTAAATGGCATCCCGCTGTTAACAAAGCTGTTGGATTAGCACTGGCCTTTGTTTCCTACTATGCAGGAATTCCATAAAGTGAGTGCATTTTATATGATGTCTGTAACTTAACTTCATGTGTTTAAAAAAACAAAAAAAGGAAAAAAAAAAAGGTAGAAACCTGTTGATTTTAGGTTTACTGCATCACTTCTACATCCTGTTTTTTGTTCGTTCTGCCTTTTTGAAGAGGTATGATAAATAACTACCTCTTGTTTTTTCCTGTATAGCCTGACTATGAATTCAATTTACAGAGTTGGTGCAGCTGGAGGTGCAGGACAGTTCTGCTGCCCCAGGGCTCCCTCCCAGGCATTCCCAGCTGAAGTGCAAATTTGCTGTGAGGTGGCCACAAGCTGATGTTTTCTCATGGCTGTGGTAGCATTCCTCTCTTCCTCTGGCCCTTTGACTTCAGTAATTTATCCACTCACTGTAAACTTGCCAGACACATTTCCCATAAGCCTCACCTTTTAACACCAATAACAGTTCAGTTACATGAAAGGAAAAAAGTTAACCAATGATGATGTATGTGTTACATTATGATCCATATATAATATAACCAGGACTGTTTTGAATAGCCATAGTCGATGAATGAATTTAAGCTTAAATTAATGAGTGATTTCATAAATGAATGGGATTAGTCCTCCACCGATTTTTTTCTGTGCTAGGCTGCAGCAGAGCACACAGGAATGCCTGGTGTGCAGAGGCAGAGCCCTGATGTTTTGTGCTGCAGATGGAGCTAAGGGTACCTTGGAAAATCAGGGCCTGAGACCTTTGCCAAATAGATAACACAGCCCTGAGGAGGCACTTTACAGGCCCCATGAAGATGTAGAGAAGGTGCCCTTCTTCTGTAAATTGAATTTCCATGGTTTTTGCACATGAAAAAGCATTGTAGGTAAAGTTATGATTTGTACTGGTACTGTTGATTTGTGTGGTAGTGGCATTAACCCCGTAGCTATGGTGTTTGTGCAGCTGATCTGTGATAGCTGATGATCACTATTGGACCTTCTGTTTACACTGACTAAATCCTTTACTGTTGCGTTGTACTGTGAAAGAAGGATTATGGGCCTATAAAAGACGATTATTTTTTTTTTTTTTGGAATTGTGTGTACCGTTTCATTAATTCACATGGAAATAAACCTGTAGCAAAGTGACGACGTGCCACTTGACCTTCTGAGAGCAGTTTGTTCATGGCCTTTGGCAGCAGCCACGGGACCCCGAGGGCTGGAGGGCAGCTGGGCTGGGTGCACACTCTGCCTTCAGCCCAGCTCCTGGGACACTCCCTCCTCGCAGGAGCAGTGCTGCGGAGTAGAGTCCTGCTGGTTGCCAAAAGCTCCTCCAGGAGCAGCAAATCCAGCTGGGATAATGCTGCTCACTCCCAGCCCTGGGGCAGGGAATGGACCTGCACAGAGGCATCACCATGGGGTGTTTGCAAAATCAAGGTCCCTGAGCTTTCTCAGGCTTTTATACACCTGGGACTGTTGAATTTGCACTTGGGCTCCTGGCTGGTGATTCTGCCCTCTGACTCCCACCTGCACCAATTTTTTGGTGCCACGTGCTGAAAAGGCAAGTTTTTCAAATGCTTTACAACCCTTCAGTATGGAGGGCACCTCAGAAATTTCAGGAATCTCTTTCTGAGGGCTTTGGTTTGCAAAGGACAACTTTCATCCCTTGGATGGTGTAAAACCACATTGTCACAGCTCTGCCTGGCTGCTGGAGGCAAGTACCTATACACCTATTTACCAGGCAGATACCCTGATATGTATTTACCCTACTTATTTCCCACCCATAGCAGCTGAGGGGGTGTCTGTGCTGCTTTCCAGAGGGACTGTGGCCTTTGTGTGGGGTGCTGAATCCTGAGCTGTCCTGCTGGGCTGTCCCAAAGCTGAGCTGCAGCTCACGAGAGGGCCGTGCCTGGTGTCACACTGGTCATGGGTGGCCTGTGCTACTGGAAGTCACAGCAGTGGGACAGGAGACAAAGGTGTTATTCTATTTTCTTGCTATGGAGTGATGCTAATTCTGCTGTGCACTCCCCCCTCAGCATCCTGACAGTCGGAATAAACACCACTAATCCCACTGGATACGTGCTGTCCAGCCCAGCTGGGGTTGGACTCTGGCATGGAACTAAAACAAACAAGGACATCATTTAGCAATTGAACAAATGCCTTTTGGCAGCCCTTCACCTTCCCAAACCCTCAGAAGAAGTGCAGCAGATCCCTTCAAATGTATTGTTTCCTTGAAACAAGGCATGATTCAAGCCCCTCACCATTGGTGAGTGGTATCCCCAGTACCCAAAATGTAGCTGGGATCCCCTGGTCTGTATCCAGCCTCCCCAGCACGGGCAGCTGCAGCTGGGCACCCACTGGGATGGGCTCACTGTGCCAGGAGCTGGCATCTCATACCAGCCATGCAAACATGTTTTGGACAGGTGCTGTTCAGAGGCACAGCAAGCAGGGACAAGGCAGTTCCCTGCACGGTGTGGGATGGGGGCCTTCCCTGCAGGCAGGTGCACAGAGTTGTCATCTGCTGATTAGTCCCTGGTTGATTAGTTCTGTTCAGTCAGAGCTGATGAGGGGCAGCTTTCAGTCAGTACCATCTGTCCATCTTCGTGTGGGGATCAGTAAAGCTCTGGGAAATGGGCCAGCACTGGGTATCTACAGCCTCAAAAAAAATCACAGGGCTGTTTCTAGAGCAATGCTGTATTGCCATGCCCAAAGTCACAGACATTTCTGCAGCCTTGGGTCTGCATCTCCATGTCATGCTGGGGTCGCATTTTTATGAGATAAAATTTTTAAAAAAGCAAGGCTTTGATTCTTCCTTATCTCATCATGTCCTGCAAGGAGCTCTGGTCCTTGCTGGGTCCTCTAGATGGCAATATTGGAAAGGACAGCAGTTGTCCATCACCACTGTGTCCCAGGCCATCAGAGCCCAGCCCACCCAGTTCCAGAGACCCTCCCATGCCCTGCCGGGCTCACCACACCTCAGGCCCCATGCAGCTGAGTCCTCATCAGCACAAAGCAGAGGAGAACCTATTGCAACACTGACTGCTCTGTCACCCTGAGCCCCCTCGCAGGACCACCGCCTTCTCAAACCCCTGGAAGGATGGAGGTGCTCACAGACATCTCCCCTGTGCCTTGTTTTCCCCTTTAAGCCCAGCTGCTTGTTGGCCATTTTTCCCCTATTGAGCTTTCAGAATGAGGAGTTTAAGGCCAGTGGCCACAAGCTGACTGCAGGATGAGTTTTGGTGAGAGATGAGCTGCAGCCCTTGCTGCAGCTCACAAGGGCACCTTCCCCCACGAGCTCCCCATGTCTCACAGGTGTGTGTCTCACATCACCTGGGCACCATTCCTGGCACTAGGCTTTGCTGGCATCTGCAGCCAATTCATGGTCATCATGGCTGCCTGAACTATTGCCAGAGGACTTTCTCTTGTCACCACTCCAAAAGAGTGTTTCTCACCAGAGGTGGGGAGTTTTGTGGAGGAAACGTCTTGCTGAGGTGAAGAGGGGAGGTGGGGGTGGAAGTGCCTCCCTGATGCCAGTGGGTCCAAATACAATCTCACAACTGTAAATTACAAAAAACACTTTTGGCCACATCTGTCTGTGATTGGAGAATAATTGGAAGATGAGGCAAGTAATATGAAAATAGAGAAGTTATGTCCTTGCTGACAGCCCTAACAAAATCTGCCAAGCTGGTGAGGGAACCCAGGGGCTGGGATTGTTCGTGTACTCTCTGTGTCCAGCACAGGCGTAGAAACACTGCCCAGCACAAACCCTGCTGTGTGTGCCCCTGCTTTCCACCTCCCCCACTCAGCTGGGAGCAATGTGTGTCTCATTCATCCCAAAGGCACTTGCAGCACACCTGGTGCCTGCAGCCAGCCAACCCCAGAGGCTGCTTTGCACCTTGCTGGCTCCTGGAGCCCTGTCCCTGCCATGGCCACAGGGAGTGGCACAGTGTCTCTGATGTCCCTGAAAGCTCCTGGACCTCAGATAAGAAGAAAAGCAAAGTCTCAGGATGCTGCAGAGCTGAGGTGTCAGGGTGAGGCTGTGACTGGAGAGCTCAACCAGGGAAAGCAGAATTCCAGCCTGTCACTGCTCAGTGCTGCTGGAGGTCTGCCTCAGAACAGTGTTTGGGGACCAGGGGCTCTGGAGCATGTTCCTTTGGCACTTGCAGTCCTTGAACAGCCCCTCTTGGTGCTTTTCCTATCTCCAGCCCTCACAGTCCCTGCACTTGGAACCTGGGCCAGAGGCTACAAATCTCTTAATGAGTGCAGGAGTCCTGAAAGGTTCAGGATTCTGGGGTAGCAAAACCTTGAATGTGTTGTCTGATATTTAGACATGTGTATACACAAAAGGATTGGATCTTTATTAATTGTCCTTTCATAGGAAATTTCACCAGCTGCCCTCCTCCCAGGGGTGCCAGGGATGCTCCAGCCCCAAGGAGCCCATATATGGTTGAAATCTCCCAAGCCTGCATGTTCCACAATAGTGTGGTCATGGCTACTTTTAAGGATATGTGTGAACATTGCTCCCTTTCCTGTGTGCATAAGCTCCCAGGAATGTGGAAAAAAATTTAAAATGTGCATAAATTAAAGCTGTCAGTTCTGTACAGCATGTCAGCCCTTCCACCTGCAGCAGCCAGGGCAGATGTGCCAGCCTACCCACACCGGTGCTGTGCTGGGCAGGGCAGGCACCACAGGGCAAAGGATGCTTTGAGAACAGGAAAGCACCAACTGGCTGAGCATGGAAATGCTTGGCAATGTAAATGTGCCTAGGCTGAGACAGCAGCAAAGGTTTTTTTTTTCTTGTCCTTCCTCCTCTCAGCACTGGTTTGAGCCAAAATGTACCTTTTCTGGATAGTAGCTCCAGGAGTATGACCTTGAAACTAGCTAAGGACAGCAGGTCTCCACATCCTCACAGCATCCTCATTCCCTGCAGTGCCTTGAAGTATCTCCTCTGCATCCTTTGATGATGGATGGCTGAATCTGCTCTTCTGTGATACAGCTCACTCTTAGAATTCCCAGAGGTACAAGAGAAAAGAGAACAAGAGATGCAGCATTGGCTGCTTTTCCCTTTTCTCAGGTGGTTAATATTAATCACTGGTGCTTTGGATATGTTATGTGAATTCTCCCAGGTTCTGAAGCTTTTGACATCTTCAATAAGAGAGAATTGGAAATGTCTGTGTATCTCAGTGACAGATGGGCCAGGTAATACAAATTTCTTCCCTTCTCCATGTACTCTGCCATTAGTTTCTAGCTTTGAAATAGCCCTGAACATCCTAAAGCTCTTTAGCTAAATAATGTCTGAGTGGTCTGAGGTCACTATTTGCATTGGTGTCCATTTCTCAAAGTGCAAAATCAAGGATTCCTCTGACAGGGCAGCTCAGGTGACAGTTCTGAAAATGAAAAGGGTATGTCTGGAATATGTTTTCCACCCTGGGACCCCAGACCTGTGTGTGCTGCTCACACAAAAATGTCCAAATTCTTACAAAAGGCAAACAAATTTGCCTTGTGATTGGTTTCTGCTGTTTGTGGGCTGGAGCTCTGTTGCAGAGATATTTGCTGTAGATAAAATACCTCAGTTCCAGTCAGATGCCTAAGAGGGCTCAGGGCTATTGTCCTGCTAGAGAGGAGCCAGGCCTGTGGTGCTGTGACATTCCTAAACCCAGCTCCATCAGAGACCTGTTGCTTCAGCTGCAATCTGTGCTGGATGACAGAGCTGATAATAGACTGAGAGTGCTCATGACAAGGCTGTAGGGGTTGAGCGAAAACTCCCTGGAAAAAATGGATCATCCTGGCTTTACAGATATTCAGTTTGAGATTCCAGAGCTGGCTTTTGGCCCTGGCAGTGCTGGCAAGACTGAATTCCATTGCTCTGGGGAGAAGAGCCCCGCTGGGGCCAGGCAGTCCTGCCGGGCTGCTGCTGGAGCAGTTCTGTGTGCAGAGCTGGCTGGGCTGTCACGGGAGCAGGGGATACATCACCGTCAGAGAAGGATGCACTGGCTCCTTGGGTTGGGAAAAGGAGCATCCCGTGGCCTCCCCAGGAGTGGATCTGGCTCAGGACACTGGGTGGAGATGGTGGTGCTGCTGGAAGCCCTGGAGCAGCACAGGCAGCACAGTTAATACCTGCACTCCGCAGCCGCCGAGCCTCTGATGCAGCAGAAGGAGTAAA